GAGGGACCACCAGGGCCGCAGAGCTGTCGAACAGGCGCGAGGAGAAACAGAGGAAGCGGGGCAGGAGGCGGGGCAGGCCTCCCCCACTGAGAACTCGTACGAGTCTGCCACCGAAGAAGCCAACGAAGGCCCAGCCGCGCCCTGCGCAGCCTCACCGTGGGCGCGTCGCACCGCCAGGAAGACAACGGCGGCAAAGAGCGCTGCAGGTCCCTCGCAGCAGCATGTTTCCCTAGCCCCGGTGACTCCGGGCTCGTTGCAGCCTGCTGAAATGGAGGCAGGCAGTGTGTCTCCTCCGGTGTCCGAGTGGGAGTGGCCCCCCACCCCACGTGACCCAGCACAGGACTTTGCGTCCCTGTCAGAGGTCGCAGCAGCCCTCCCCGCCACCTCGCCGTCAGGTTTGGAAACTGTCGCCATGGAGGTGGATGACGGTTCACCCCAACTCCTGGCGGACGACAAGACACCGCCTGCAAACCCTAGCAGCCCTGACCGCTCCGAGCACTCCTCTGATACCTTACCCTCCGCCGCTACCAAAGACGAGGAGATGGAGAACAACAGAGCTTCCTCTTGCAGCGCAAAAGGCCCCTCCAAACAGGAAGGCCTTGAGGAGGCCATCCAAGAGCGCCTTGATGTTAGCATGGCCAAGCCTGAGGTAGTGGACCCCACACCTCTTCCTAGCCAACCTCCCAGCCCTGGGGCCACCGCCAGCGCTTCTGAAAGCACTGCAGTGGACCGCGCTAACGCTGGTGCTGCTCAAGCGGCTGTCGTGGACAGCCCCACAAGCCCTGCAGAGGCTGCCCCAGCTGGTGAGCCGACAGTGGTGCCCTCCCACTCCGTGGCCCCAGCAGAGCCGGCAGGGCGCCTCAGATCTTGAGGCTCGATGTGTCGTGCCAGGTAGGCACCCAGTTGGTTGTGCTGCGCATAGCCATGCCAGCCAACAGCACGGTTGGAGCCTTGCTAGCCAAGGCTAGAGAGAGGGCTAGCGCACCAGGTCTGGAGTTTGCCTCACTGCATTCCACACCTGACGTTACGTTCCCCCACGTAGCGACGTTGGGGGCAGTGATGCCACCAGGAGTGCTGAGGCTCCTTCTCCGTGACAGCCCTGGACCTACGGCCGTAGCTAGCACCGCTGCTGAGGTGGGTGCGACGCCTTGCCTCTTCTCCCCTGACCAGTGTTGGTGCTACTGCTGCGAAATCGGCACTGCCAACCCGCTCCTCATGCA